ACGTTCAACCTTGCTGGACATCTGGTCTGCACTATGGAGTCAGCGAAGGTATCTGTCAATAAAAATCCTCCGCCTGACACAATCTTTCTCTTTTGTGTTATATAGACCTATTTTTCTAAAATACTACATTTATCTTTATCTTATTGTGCTGTTTGTATTTCCCACCACTTATGACGTTGGGACCCTATAGGCTGTTGGATGTCTTGACTTGCCGATGTGATTGGTGTTTCCCAAGGTCGTCTGAAGCATATATATGCATCTGCTGTCCACCCTTTTCGCTATTGATTCGAGACAGTAAAAGCTCTCTATGTCAACGGTCTGTCTTCTTGTTCATTTGTCGTCCTAAGTAACACGTTCGACGGAATCGAATTGTGTTAGTGTTGCCGCTAATAGTGGCTTACTAGAACAGTAGGCTCGCAAACTGACTAGGTAGGAAGTTCGTTAGTGAAAACTAGCCAGTGTATAAATACGGCCACAACACTGTCTCACTTATATAGGAAACCTGATGCAACCCCAGAGCCGCTCATTTACAAACTAAGTATAAAAAGAACTTAGTCAGAACACTGTTCAATAGAGCACAAGAAATTTGTTCTGACAGTACTGTTGAGCATGAAATTAAATCTCTGAAGGATATTTTATCTAAGAATGGATATCCTGAGAAGTTCATTAATAAATACTCTAAAGAAAATAGCCCCTGCAAAACAATCCAAACAGTTCCAAAGAAATCTGTCTACATCAGTTTGCCATTCAAAGGAGATGATGTATAGGAAGTAGTCAAACGAAGACTCTACAAAGCCATCAAGAGAACTTATCATACTGCAAAACTTGTTTTCCTTAACACCACTAAGCGAGTGCTTCAACAATCTGGGAAAGACCAGTTGCCAATCCTCGACACTTCAAACTGCATATATCAATTTGAGTGTGTTTGTGGAAGCAAATACATAGGTCGTACGGAAAGGCGATTGTCTACTCGCATGATGGAGCACTTGCCAAAATGGTTGAAAACAGCTGAGTGCAAAGTGCCGAAATCCTCAATAACAAAACATCTTGTGGACTACGGACATGATATCGACGCGGTCAAGTCATTCACTGTTTTCAGCAGACAAAGAAACAAGAAGATGCTTGCGATTGCAGAGGCTTGTGCAATTCGAGTTTATAAACCAGGTCTCTGTGTAAAAAAGGAGATGGTTGTGACTCTGAATCTATCATGGTAATATGTTTTCCCTGTTATTCTACCTATTATTATTATTCTTGATTCATTTAAACTATCCTTTATCAGTAGCATTATCTTAACTCACTTCGACATTATCATTATTATTATTATTATTATAACTATCACTATTGATATTACTCTGTTTGCAATTCTTGTTATATTCTCTAATGCATAATTGTTTATCTAAGTGATGTAATTGAAGCGTAATGTAATTTATCTTAATTTTGATCTCCCATACTCTCTCTCCCCTTATCTAATTGAACACCACCTGGAAAACATTTGCACCTGTCTTTCTGCATGACTAATTCAATGTAGTTTGTTTACTTCTCAGTTTTATATCTCCGAATGTAGCTTCAAAAGTATATATATCCGTGTATGTAGAGTATTCAGCTGACGAGTTCTACCGAAATTTGATAAATTCATTAAATCCAGCTTCATTACCCTTTATTGCTTGTTTTAAATTCGTATCGGGAAATAAATGTTTTCAATAAGTATTTATGGGGAGCATGTTTGCATTGGGTTAAGAAATATTAAAAAGGATTGGTTCCTACACTTCTGCATCTGCATCACCTATGACAATATAGCATTATCTAACACTAGGAAGGTAAGGCACATTAATATCAGTGATTCCAAATGATTGAATGATGCTTAAGTCATGTGATGCTATTCACTCTTCGTTATTAGACTTTAAATCAGACATTATCCAACGTTTTTCACCTTATCTGACGTCATTTAGATAACAGATTTATTAATATGATAAAGTCTTACAATGACGCCTAAGTGTTTGTTGATCACTACTACATCAGATTGAAGGGATGATATCATCCACTAGTACAGTTGTTTCTATCTATCACTATAAAAATTTTATATGACTTTCATGTCTATGGTTTTACACTGTCTTTTCTTTTCTTTGTTTTACAATGTTACTAGGGTATTAGATAATCATTTTATTCTGGTAAGCATAATTAATAGCAATTGTAAATTTCCACACGTATCCATACTACACAAGCAAGGAATACATGAAACGTGACAAGGAATCTATTAGTGAGGTGAAAGTTAACTCCTTTTTTCCCAGTTATATTCCTCATGTTCACATTTTTCAGTATCTTGTCTACTTCTTTAACTAACTCTGTGTTTATTGTCTGTGTTAGTTTTAGTACTCATGGTCTAAAAAGGCGAGACAGAATGTATTACTTACTAGGTGGTGTTTTTAGCAGTAGAATACAGAGAGAATATTTGATATTCTTTATGGATTTAACAACGGAACTTAGCTGCATCCATGTGAAGGGCGATGCTGCAGTTGAGAATTCCAGCGCACAACAATCGACTTTTCAAACAACAAGGCATCACTCGCCAGATGGTTTCTTAGGGAGTGGTTAACAGTTGTTCAATAAAGTTTACAAATTTTTGAAAAAGATATTGGTAGATATTGAATCTCAAGAACTATCTAAAGCTTCTTAAAATTTAATTGGTGGATGGTGACTAGCAGTGGAATCCACCAGGATGTCCATTTCGTCTTATTTGAGGCTCGTCAGATAGATGCGCCTGCATTCCACAGTGGGTGATGATGTTCCCACCGAGGCTCGAACCCAGTGCCTACAGTTTCAAACGCCAAAGCGTTATGCACTAGACTACTTGGGCCACTACAGCCACCTATTGTGCAACGGGTCATAATAATTATTTAATTCAATTTTAGATTTTCCCGTCCATTGATTGCACAGAAGTGCTCGGTCTCAGATTGACATTTTGGCTTCTTGTGCTGATGCTTCGACAATGTATGGGCATGTAATTAGAAGTTAATTGGTGGATGCTGATCATATGGCCCGTTGCACAAGAGGTGGCTATCGTGGACCAAGTGGTCTAGCGGATAACACTTTGGCGTTTGAAACTATGGGCACTGGGTTCGAGCTTCGGTGGGAACATAATCACTCACTGCGGAATGCAAGTACATCCAGTTGACGAGTCCCGAACAGGACGAAATGCGCATCCTGTATTTCACTGCTAGTCAACATCCACCAGTTAACCTCTAATGACATGCCTTGACATCGTCGAAGCATCTGCACAAGAAGCCGATAGATATGTCAACCTGAAACCAAGCACTTAGGTCCAATAAATCGACGGGAAATTCTAAAATTCAGTTAAATATTTAAAGCTTCATTTTGTGTGGTCTGGTTGACAGCGGACACCAAACAGACAAAATAAAAGATGCTATGCTAAATAAGTGTAGTTTGTTGAATCTTTCAAGTGTTATTCCTATTTGTCTCCTGTGTGTAGCCAAGACTATGATTCTGTGATATCTGCTTGAATAAAGTTGAAATAGACACTAGCCCTCCTCTTTGGCAGGAGCAGACTTAACTAATTATATCCCCAGTTATGTGATCTCAGTCCCCTTCAGAGAGTTTCTTGTGTTCCTTCCTCATTATCACATTATTATCATTATTATTATCATTGTCCCTTTGGGTTACAAGTGGAAAATATAGCTTCACTTCACACCTCCACAATGTCCTATTCTCTGTGGTTCTTTTCAGCTGACCCCGAAATTTATTACGCCTTAGACTATCTTCTTCGCCTTATCCACTACGTTTGAAATAGTTGGCTATATATACATATATATATATGCTTTTTCCACCATTCCTATTGTAACACACTTCACTGTTGAACAATTTTGCTGATACTATTAGTATCGTGACAAAATACATATTTTTTGGTGGTGTGAATTTGCTGTAGCAGTTGGACTGATTTTCTGGTGAAGGGCCACTATCCCCATACCTCTTTTTCGTGCTTAGGAATTGGTGGTAAACTACTGAACTAGTAAATAGGCTTTAGACTTTCATCCGCATTTGCTTTCGCTTTCTTGATAATGAAGATGAGGTGACTGGCTAGAAAGGATAGGCGACAAGGAACCACAGAAGAGTAATGAACCAACTAACGAACAAATTATAGCCCAACGAAATCTATTAGGAAGAAAAAGAACGTAGATATCCTATACACTGAATGAAATTATGTGTCACGCCTTCGAGTGAAACTCGAGTGAGAATTGGCAAGTTTGACATTTGTGTCATGGAGGAGATCATGTGACAAGTGGACGAAAGCTCATGGTCAGTTGTTGAGTCAGCTGAAAAAGAAAGCAAACAACGCAATGAAATGTCGTGTACTTCTCCAGTCCAACGTTCCACACAGAATCCAAAGAAATAACGATGAATGCCCACTTTGTATGCAAAGTCTTTTCATCCTACTGATAAATCACAATGTTTTATAAATAATATTTAATATCAAAAAGCACCACATACATTCCCTCGTCCTACCGGGGCTAGGGTAACATTCTGACCACAATTTCGCTTCCTTTCATTATGTAAGTTTACTACTAGTGTTGTAACAACAGAAGACGAGGGCCAGGCAACAGAACGTGTATTACGGAAAATCAACACATATTTATAGATTTTGATGTACATTATTGTAGGTTAATGTTAGTAGAAAATACAGTCTGTTGATTGGTTGTTTCTCACACAAAGTTAACCTTGCATCTCTTGTGGCTGTGTCAGATCATCCATATGTTAACTGTATCCGCCTGTCCATCTTGAACTTGACCTCAATTACTGTCAACCAATTTGGCTAGCAACCATCTCTCACCACAACATGACTAATATTTGATACATAAAGATTGACCTCAATTACTGTCAACGAATTGGCTAGTAGACAACTCTCACCACAGTGCTACCTATGTAGTCTCTGGAATAAAATCTTACTTGACAAGTCACTGTTAAATTGTAACTCAATAAATAGAGGTTTTTTACGTGCAATCATAGTCTCAAGTTTGCTTTCAAAGAATGGCAGTCAAATCCGAACTTTAACTTCAACAACTTCGAGAAGGCCTTCGACAGCGTTGACCGAGAAGTAATTCGGAATTTACTTCAGCACTAATGCGTTCAGTGCCCAAGTCTTTATCAAACCCATTCAACAGCTACATGACAATTCCACACGTCAGCTGATGCACAACGGACAACTCAGTGAGGCGTTCGAAGTGAATACAGCAGTAAGACAGGGCTGCCTTTTATCATCAATGATATTCTTAACTGTGGTGGACTGGATTATGCATCAGACTGTGGGGAGACAGGAAACAGGAGTACGCTGGACAAATAAGATGACTCTAGAAGGTCTGGATTTCGCGTGTGGATGATTTATACCTAACGTCACACAAACTTGAAGACTTGCAAGCGAAAAACCAGCTGAAGAGGCAGGTAGCGAAAACAGGACTGCAGGTGAACATAGAGAAGGCGGAGGTGATGAAGATACTTACCAACCAGGATGAGAAATGCTAGGTAAACCTTCATCAATCTCAAATCAGTTTAAAAGATCTCCACTCAGCATTTTCAACACCTATGGTAAGTCACTTAGTTCTTCTTTATGGGCAAGAAGCTAGCATTGCGCATCACGCTGTATACTTCTAATAGGTTGCAGCCTTTTATCAGCAGACGCCTTTGCTTCACATTGGAGGTCAAATGTCCAAAAAGAATTAGCAGCAAGAAACTACTGGGGCAAACCAATCAAAATCTTATTACTCAACAAATATGCGGGGAAAAGTAGGGATGGATTGGCCACACCCTGAAGAGACTGTCGAATAACGTAGCGTGCCAGTCCTTAGAGTAGAACCCAAATGAAAAACAACGAGTGAGTTGTCCAAGGGTGGCAGGGAGGAGAACGTATGAGGATGAGATGAGAGATAATGGACATATGAGGGTTTTGTCTGTTCACTCTTTTGACAGTAACATTATAATGAACGAGCTAACAAGTCTCCATATAACTGACGTGAAGCGACTGAAACTATGTTACAGTCAGCTCGAATAATTGAAAAAACAAAAAGGACCAAATGAATAAATTATGAACGCAAGAAAAAACGACAAAATGCAGTCCATTAATACACATTCATCAGTACAAAAGATCACTTAAACTATTCGCCTTCATCACCAATTCTAATATATCAGATGATACATAATCAAATTGCAAAGGATGAAAGTTTTAACAATAGACGATTTTGTATTGAAGTGAAAAACACCAATGATGATGATAATGATAAAATACAATGGACATTAACAAAAGGGGAAAAACAGCTCATTGATTTCATAATTTGTTAAACTAATAGGAGGCATTCATTCTACATTAGATAGGAAAGTTTTGTTTTTTCCTTATTCATTCATTGTCTGTTGATTATCAGTCTCATCTCAGGATTAGTTAGCATCCTCGTATCACACGTTTCCTCTTCACTGGCTTTTCGAGTGACGTATAAAACGTTGCCACGTGATTATAATGGTGTTACTCCATATTTTTGATTGCACACTAGTCAGTAACTAGTGTAATGTGTCTAGTCCTATATTCGGTGCAGACTGAATTCTATCCGTCAGGTTTCCAATGTGGCCACCATGCTAGGTGCCTCGCCATTACGGTGTACTGTGAATTGTTGGTATTAGATGGTTGGAGGCAATCGGCAGGAAGCCTTGAACCTACATTTCGTGCTAGATGGCACTTATCCGCAAGGCGTATCTGCAACCTTGAAGGGACTGACTGATAGAATTCAGTCTGCACCAAAGATAGGACCAGGCACATTACACTAGTTACTGACCAGTGTGCAATCAAAAATATCCAATGCAGTCCTACTGGAGGTCAGTCGCGAGCCTGAATAGCTCAGTGGTAACGTCTCTGACTGCAGCACTGGGTGACGCGGGTTCGAATCTCAGAAGGGACATCAGTTCCTTCAAGGTTGCAGATACGCCTTGCTGATGAGTGCCAACTAGCACGAAACCTAGGTTTAAGCCTTCCTGCCGATTGCCTCCAACCATCTAATACCAGGTGTTACTCTATATATACTACTTTTGTCCGTTTTGTAAGTAACATGCTCACCATTGTATTCCTTGTTTAATCCAGATGACTCCAACTGACTTTAAAAAAACACAGTCAAGTGGTATAGCTAAATCAGCGGTTCAACGTATGCACTTAGTTATATATATGAAACAAGATCTGGATATTCAACACTGAAGCTAAATCACTTCTTCTATAGATTTGACTGGTCATGAGCCTGTCGTAGACTTTCATCAACACCTGACTTTACTTGATACTAAAAATCAAATGGTCAGTCATGCAAGGATCATTAACAAGGAATTCTCGAGGTG